ACGTTTATGAACTTTCATCCAACCACCTTTTTAGATCTTGTGTACTTGTTTCGAACAACACTTACTGCTTTAGAGTTCTTTGGAGTGAATGTGAATTTTTGATTAGTTTAGTCACATGCTTGATGACGATAAAGTATACTGCTTTACATTCAGGATTGTTGGCTAACTTTTTCCTTCCTCTATATTAAGCAATATTACGTGTAGTTTTGGGTAGGCGAAAGATGCTGTACTGTTCTGTGCTCGTGTTTCCGCCGTACTCTCTTATCCTGGATGTTTATGCTTGCGCATTTTTTAAAATATGTTTAGGCCTAAATGCGGTTCACTTTTTCAAGGTTATGCGGCCAAATTGTTCCAGTCCTAGCTACTCTTGGATGCCTAAACGACCTTTTCAGCAGGTCATAGCTCGAACGCATTCTCTCAACGCCACCTGTCATATTGAACTGCGTCATTTTGCTGGTTCGATCGACGACGACTACTTTGGAAGATCCAACGAAAATACTTTTACCAATGGATTGACTTGTTTATAGTTGTAATAGACAGCTTCTCAAACAGCAAATTTTACCGTGCTTCGAACCGGTCCGTTATTCCCAGTTGCCTAACGTTTATGTAAACAGCTGCGACTTCATGCATATTTGAGACCCTGAAGTGCTGGATGCATTTCGACTCGTTTCGTTCCCTATGGCAGCTCATCATGAAACGTGTCTAAAGAATTGGTATTTATTATATGTCGCCGCATGAACGTTAAACTATGGTTTCTTTTGCCGAATATGTTAATTATGGCATATGTCCTCAAGGAGCAAATTTTGTAGCTTATTGCACCTCTTCATTGATACGATCATCTGGTAAAATCTGTGGTAGAGACCAAGATTAGATTAGATTCGGTCTGTTTCGTTGCCAGTTAGTTGATCTGTGGAAGACAGCACGAAACGAACTTAGCACTTATTGTTCGAGCCGAGTCGAACGAAAGCATGGCATATTCGCTAAACTGAGTGGTTTAAACGAGTGTCAAGTTTTAAGCTTGTCTCTTCATTTTCTTAGTAATATTCAACCTCCTTGTTACTGTGCTGCGTTGTGTAACGATGATTGAATGACCATC